TGATTTCCATGATGACATTAGTCATAACACCGAGGATTGTGTCGCTTTAAGGAAGGAAGTCGCCTATCTCCTATGAAATGGATATCTAAAGGAGATAATGTCAGAACAAACTAAGTCCCTCCTACACCGAGATCCAAAGTCATCGACATCTGGACAACGGCCTCCATCGCCTTCTGCCCCTCACAAGGTAATAAACTTTATTAATAGTGGTTCTGAATTATTAGGACTAACATATTTTGCAGCCAAGAGACACGCTCGAGAATACTCCAGAGACAAGTTGTCGCAGGTCTGTCAAATAGCCAAGCGCGAAGAGGACTGGAAGAATGTATCAATTATCTTCGACGAATCTGATAGACTGGACCCTACTGACGTCCACCACGATGCTCTGGTTGTCTCACTCCGAGTGGCAAACTATGAGGTACGTCGAGTCCTTATCGACAATGGGAGTACTGCCAACATCACCACGATGAAGATGTTGGGACAGATGGGCTACAAAGAAGAGGACGTGACGAGTTCTGGATCAACCTTGATCGGCTTCAATGAAGAGCCAAGCCGCACTCTAGGTAACGTGTCCTTACCCGTATACACGAATGGTCTCAATTTACAGGTCAAGTTTGATGTGGTCCAAGAGCTACCCGCATACAACATGATATTGGTCCAGAGAGGTCAAGATATTGCTACACTTCTAAATGTACAGAATGATTCTAGGAGTCCTCCATATGATATATAACTCATATGATAAATACAAAGTAGAGGTCTTGATGGAATGATGAGGTGAAACAAGCTATAAGGATCAAAAGAGAAAGCTATAAGAAATTGGGCAAAAGTTGGAGCGACGAGAACATAGAGGAGTAAAAGGAGGCTAGAAGAAGAGCAAAAAAAGTTGTGAAGGAAACCAGAGGAAAAGTGAACAAAGAATTGTATGTAAAGTTGGACTCTAAGGAAGGAGAAAAAGATATCTACAGACTTGCTCGCCTTCATGACCGTAGGACTCGGGATATCGGTAAAGTTAAGTGTGAAGGATGTCGATCAAAGAGTACTAATGGATGACAAAGAAATAAAAGAGAGGTGGAGGTCATACATTGATACCTTGTTCAATGGGGATATAGTGTAAGGTATTGATGATCTTACTATACCAGAGTGTAGGCTAAATCGGGACTTCGTGAGAGGGGTTCAAACAACAGAAGTTAAAGAGGCTATGAGAAATAAGGGGCGGAAGAAAGCAGTGGGCCCAAATGGCATACCGATCAAGGCTTGGAGAAGTTTGGGAGAGAAGTGCATCGAGTGGCTAACATGTTTCTTCAACATGAATTGGAGAAACAACAAAATGCCAGTGAGTTAGCGAAAGAGTACTCTCATTCCCTTATCTAAAAATAAGGGTGATATACAAGAATGTGCTAACTATCGAGGGATTAAGCTTATGAGTCACACCATAAAACTTTGGGAGCGAGTGGTTGAGCAAAGCGTTTGTAAAAGTATGAAAATTTTTAAAGAATCAATTTGGTTTTATGCCTCGACGCTAAATAACTGAGGTCACTCACCTTCTTAGACAAGTTGTGGAGAAGTATAGAGACACTAAAAAGGATCTGCATTTGGTGTTCATTGACTTAGAAAATGCATATGATAGGGTGCCTCGAGAAGTCCTTTGGTGGGCTTTAACTAGAAAAGGCATATCACGTAAGTATATTAGTATCATCATGGATGTGTATGATGCTTGTACTACAAGTGTCCGCACTAGTGTAGGGAGGACTGTAGAGTTTGCTATTACTATCTGAGCGCACCAAGGATTTGCTCTGAATCCTTTCCTATTTTGTATACTCATGGATGAACTTGCGAAGTCAATTCGAGAAGATATATCGTGGTGCATGATGTTTGTCAACGATATTGTATTGATTGATGAGACACAATCCGGTGTTAAAGCAAAGTTGGAAGTATGGCGACAAACATTGGAGACCAAGGGTTTCAGACTGAGCCGAAGCAAGACTGAGTATATGGAGTGCAAGTTTGGTGGAGGTAGAAGTAGTAGCAACAGTGGGATTACTCTTGATGGTAAGGAGATACCGGTGTGTGATATGTCCCGTTACTTGGGCTCCATAATTCGGGAAGGATGGTGAATTAGATGGAGATGTATGCCAGAGAATCAGAGCTAGGTGGATGAAATGGAAGAGTGTTTCAGGATTTTTATGCGATCGAGGTATACCAACTAGACTGGAAGGTAAATTTTATCGAACAGCAATTACGCCTTCATTAATGTATGACGTAGAGTGTTGGGTGGTGAAGCAATGCCACAATCAAAAGATGAGTGTGGCAGAGATGCGTATGTTGAATTGGATGTGTGGACATACTAGAAAAGACCGATTGAGGAATGAGATAATCAAACAAAAGGTGAGAGTAACACCTATAGAAGATAAGATCCAAGAGTCTCATTTGCAGTGGTTTGGGAATGTGCGTAGAAGACCGAGTGATGCACCTTTTAGACGACTTGAGGGATAGGGAGAAGAGGCAGAGAAGAGATAGGGAGGAAGACTCAAACAGACTTGGATTAGAATAATTAGAACTGATATATACATCTTCTTGGGTTAGATGAGAGTATGGCTTTGGAGAGAGCAAAGTGGAGAACGCACATCCATGTGAACGATTGATGTCTTTTCTACCTTTCCTCTCTTTTTTCTTTTATAGTTTATTTTCTTTATCTTTTTTATATTCTTATGTTATTTTTATCTTCTAGCTTTTTATGCTCTTTTATTTTTTATCTTTTATCTTTCTTATATTCTTGTGTAATTGTTATCTTATATTTATTTATCTTTATTTTATTTGTTTTATCTTACTTTTTTGTTCCCCTTCTTGTGTGGCTTCTGTGTTTGGCATCGATATCATAGATCGATTCATGGTAGTCGACTCCATATTATTTTGGAATTAAGGCTTGGATGTAGTTGTTGTGACAATAAAATATATAAGATTGTGTTATGGTGAGGTGAGATCGTCTTCAATTTGTACACTCAAATTTTGAGCGCCAACTTCTATTCCACAAAATCTTTTCCTTTTAGAGAGTGAGAGATAGTGCACAATAAAGAAGCCCATGAAAAAGTATCATGCGTCTTGAAAAACAGAGGACCAATCATGTAGTATCAGAGTTTGGACGGGTCCATGGGCCCGGGACCGGCCGGTTCGTATCACATGGGCCCGGGACCGGCCCGAGGGTTGGACGGGTCCGGTTCGGGCCGGGCCGGGCCACCCGCCCGGTTCACAGGTCAGGCCACCCGCCGGGCCGGGTCGGTTAAATATTTTTTTTTTAATTTATATTTTATACTTTATAGTTTTATACAAGTATTAAAAAACAAACATCAAGTGCATTTATTTGAAATGAAATAGGAACTACATTTGAAAATTAAATAGGAACTATAATTGTTTTTAAAACATGAAATACTAATCAATCATTCAATATTTCAATCGGAATCTCCGGCATAGGTAGAGCCACCCTCGGTTGTAGATTCATCCATAAAGTGTTGGGATGGGGTGATGTCAATTTCTTGAGCTCTACGGGCTGCTTTCAACCAATCGTGGTAGCATATAAGCATCTCAAGAGATTCAGCGCTCAACCTCGTTCTGGTTTGTGTTAGGACATTGCCGGTTGAACTAAATTCTTGTTCCACGGCAACCATTGAAACCGGCATTGATAGCACTTGCTTAGTTATCTTTGCTAAAACCGGGAACATTCTTTCTTTTCCCTTCCACCAGTTTAGTACGTCAAAATCATCATCTTCTTCAAAATCAACATCATAAGTTAAATACAAAGAAATCTCATTAATTGTGCTTTGTTGTGTAGCGAGAGTTGATTTCGTTTTTTTAATAAGATTGGCAAACGTAGATTTGAAAATTGATTTTCCTTTAGATGATGTTTGTGTACAACATATTTTTTTAAACTAGAGTCAAATGTAGCAATTAATAAAAAATTGTAAAAAAGTAATTAACTATTTATCTAACTATTAATTCGAGTTATAGCAAATTAACTAGTGAATTAACTAGTTTTGTGTACAATATATTTTTTTTACTAACAATGAAATTAATACACTTTAACTTTAACTATAATTAGAATTACAGCTAGTTTTTTAAACTAGAGTCAAATGTAAATACTAGAATTTTGTACAATATATTAATCTAACTATTAATTCGAGTTATAGCAAATTGTACAACCTAATTAACTAGTTTTTTTTCAAGTAACGTTAATACAAAATTAAACAAGTGTAAATAATAGAATAATTTTGTACCTCTTTCGGACTTTCGGTCTTTCGGATGGGAGTAATAGAATGACTTCAAATTAATTAGATATAATTCCAACTATATTAATAGATATAATAAATATATAAGTAATATATAATTAGATAACAAATATAAGTAATATAATACTATTTATATCTATTTATAGTTTATATAAGTAGATAATTAATATAAAGTTATAAACTATAAATAATAAATATAATATATTGGAGAATGGAGAATAAGAGAATTAGAGAGTAGAGAGTTAAGAATAGAATTTAGGAAAAATTGGAGAAGAGATATGAAAAAAAGTTTAAGATTAGGAGTATTTATAGGTTTTTTTACCCCCCACCCTCCAACCCCCCCGGACCCCCCCAAGACCCACCCAACGGCTATGTAGCCGTTTGGGTTGTCCCCAGCCCACCCATAACGGCTAGTAGTCATTTAAAAAAAAAATGACCGTTGGACCCGGACCCGGACCCGAGCCCGACCCGGCCGGGCCGGGTCGCATTTTTTCGGAACCGTGCCCGCCCCGCCCATTCCCACCGGTTCGGGTCTGCACCCGGTCCCGGACCGCCCGACCGGGCTGGTCCCGGGCCCGCAAAGTACCGGGCCGGGTCACGGGCCGGGTGACCCGAACCGAATCCACCCCTAGTTTAAACTAAAAGCTTATACTAGGATCATGATAAGCAAACACTAGATGACTAGATCCTCTCTCTGGTTTTAGCAACTCTAAAAACGTACATAGTATTATTATCTTAAATTAAAAGGGGAGTGAGCCGATATTAAAGCTTGGAATTACCTACCTTGATTCACACAAAAGACCATACCTCAGAGCAATGTTCTAAAAGGCGTGAGGCGTGACAAGGCATCAAGGCCAAGCCTTAAGCCTAGACGGGAATAGGCGAAGCCTAGACGTGAAAAGGCGTTTTAGATTTCTGTTGATAATTATTATTTTAATACAAATATATGAAGAAGAAAACAAATGACCAAAATATATTATACAAGATTGAGCCTAATTATTATTTTGTTCAATATATATAATTTTAGCGGTCTTCTTACAATAGTTCCACCTTTTGATTATTCAGTAATAATCCAACCTTTGCACCCCATCTTCATTCAATGGTCTCTGAACGGTTGATGATCTGATATTCCAAATTATTTTCTTATCTTTGCAAAACATTATGTGACCATGAGGTGAGATTTATGGTATAATATATTGCAAAGATAAGAAAATAACTTGGAATAGCAGGTCATAGGGATGGACTCGGGCCGGGTGGCCCGACCCGGAACCGGCCCGGGACCAGCACTGTTCCGGCCCGGCCCGACCCGGTGGCCCGGCCAGTGACCGGTCCGGGTAGGCCCGGTCCGTGGGTTTTCCGGTCCGGGCTCGGGTCACCCAAAACAAGGCCCGACCCGGTCAGGCCCGGGCCCGGTTCAGGCCTTTTTTTTTTTTTTTCAATTTTTTTAACTTTTCGGGTTGGGCTGGGTATTTTGGGCCATTTGGGGTGGTTTGGGGGGTTGGGGGTGGGAGGGGGGTTAATTAGGAAGAGGAAAACAAAAAAATATATATATATAATGGGCCCGGGCCGACCCGGCCCGGACCGGACCCGGTGGTTACCCGGGCCGGTCCCGGGTCCACCATTTCTGACCCGCCGGCCCGCCCGGGCCTAGGCCCGACCCGGACCCGGCCCGAGTCCAACCCTAGCAGGTCATAAACCGATCAGGGGCTATTGAATGAAGATATGGTGCAAAGGTTAGATTATTCCTGAATAATCAAAAGACGGGAATATTGTAAAAAGACCGCTAAAAGGTTGGATTGTTAATTTCCATTTTCCCATTTTTAAATGTATAAAAGTGAAAATACAAAATAATACATTGTTGTTTTCTACTACTCCATATTATATTCCATATATAACATGTTTATAAAAGTACTTTATTTTTAAATTTAATCAGTTTTTTCAAAAAATATTTCATATAAAAAACTTTCGCCTTTTCACGCCTAAGCACGCCTAGGCTTCGCTTTTCACGCCTTTGGTGGTCAACTTTTAAGTTGACTGCCTTTTGCACACCTTTCTACAATGCAAGGCGTTTCTCCGCCGCCTCACGCCTAGGCGCGTCTAGGCCCCACCTTTTGCCGCCTTTTAGAACACGGCCTCCGAGTCACAATTACTGAATTCTTATTTCAAAAATTACTGAATTATTATTGCATTTATTACATTCATCAAGGCAGTGCTTGTGGAGTTATTATAGCTTTAGTTTCTGCAACAAATTTTCAGCTTCAATGAATCCCCCAAGTGGTCCCAAAGATGTGTACTTCACACATCTCCATCTGTTGAAATTTAAAAACAAACATGAGAATGGAACCAAACCATTTCCTCCTACAAAACAAAACGAACATTGGCCTTACCTCAATCGTAGGCATGGGACTGGTGCGGTTCTTATTCAAAACTAGTGGAACCGTTATAAAAAATTTTAACTAATAAAAGTGGTTCGGTTCTTATATAAAAAACAAGAATCGTTATAGAACCGAATTGCACTTATCGATTCATTGAATGTTTTTTCCATCCAAGAATTAACACATACTTGGTAGTTTACTTTCTACCACATAAAAGCGTCGAAAATTCAAAACACAAATATCAAAAAATTATTTGAAGTTCTAATCATTCCAAACATCAAAGCTCAAACTTTAGTAACTGAACACTTGAGAAATTTTCAAATTTCAAAAACACAAGTATCAAACAATTATTTGAAGTTCTAATCACTCCAAACATTAAAACATTTAATAGAATAAAAGAAATTTCAAATTTCATTTAATAAATAAAATATAGAAATCGTCATTATGTGGTAGATTAAAGGTTGTTCGTCATCATAGTAGCAAAAATAGGACATCCACTAGGGCCTTTCAAAACCTAAAAATACATAATTGAGTTCTCATGTATGACACATAAAAGCATCACTACACTTTACTCGCTATTAGCATAATTTATAATACATCTAATAATTTCCAATATCTTGAAGATAGGTTATATTTGGCACAACTAATTGTTATCTTTTAGTGACTGAAAAGAACTTCAAGGAAAAGATTGTAGTTGTTTGATAAAAAGTTGACTATTTGATTTAGTTCGGTTTGGTTCAACAAGTTGTTGTGACTAATTAATGCTAAAAGCTACATGCTTTCTCTCAGATGCTACCTGTTGTAGCTTTTCAAAAAAGATCTTTTATTTTGAGAAAAGCTCTTAAAAATTGTTTAGATTTTGGAATTTAAATAGAGGCTTTTAGAATTTTTTTAAATAGTACAAAAACTAAAAGGTAAGAGCTCATCCCTACCAAACTTGCACGTGATAAAGTAAAATATTTGCAGTCAACTACAAGTTATTTGAGTTACTTTACATTTATAAGATTTATGTGATGGAACAAAACTTGATTTGTAAAAATGAGCTCAATGCATTCAACCTCAAAAGCAATATTAAATAATTTTGTTTTCATTGGGTAAATTAGAATTGTTGGTTAAATATCATTCAATATATTTTTGTTGTTATTGTGATGGTTGTGATGATTATTGTTATTTTTTATATTATTGTTACTATATTATGATTATCATTATTATATTATTAGTAATTATAAGTAATACTCCTATAGTACTATTATTATTATTATTTCTTATTTTTGTAGTAATGGTTCATTAACAATTCTGTGCAAGTATTTTTTATACTCCCTCCGGTCCTAAATAAAGTTCACACTTTCCTTTTTGGGACGGTCCAAAATAAAGTTCACATTTCTTCTCCTTCCTTATTTGGCAAATTATTTACATCAAAACAATGCAAAACAGTGCCAAACAGTGTCAAACGGTGTCACAACAGTGTACTCTGCAGTAAAGTTAAATTTATTTCCTTAATTTGTGTGAAATCAAACACTGAACTTTATTTAACAAGGTCTTTTTCATGAATATTACTAAATTAAATTCAAAAAACTAAAATATGACTTGTTTTTAAAAAATTAAAAAAATTGACATAATTTGTGGCTAGTTCCCAGTGACTCATCGTCTATTAGTGACTTGTCACTATGAAATACAATATAGTGACTCATGTCCAATTACTCGCAATCAGTGATTAGTCATATTTTTGTCTAAAAAATCTAAATCGTTATATTTTTGTTCGGAGAAATTTCTCAAAACATGTTTTTAGCAATAACTTGCCGGTCAACATGTTACCTGCTAACGTGGCGCACACGTGGCCGGCCTGACACGGCGCGAAATCGTTTTCCTTTTTATCGATTTTTAACAACGTTCTTTTCTTTTCCTTTTTCTTTCTTTTTTTCTTTCTCTTTCCCTCTTCTCCTTTCTTCCTTGCCCAAAATCGTTTCTGCTCCTTATTGGTCCACAGGTGACCATCCAAGGAAGAATTGAAGCACGAGTTTGTCAAGATTCAGCCGGATCTTCGAAGTCTGACCTAGGGTAGCATCGGAGTTCGATTTGAGGCTCGACGTTGAACGAATCCCACACCTTTTCTTCTGCCTCTAAATCGGTGACAAATCGAGGCCCTAAATGTTGACCTTCAGAGGAGACAATAGCGAGATGAATTCAAAGAATGGCGGTTGACTGTAGAGAATAACAGTTGAATGCAGAGAAAAGCGGCATTGTGAAGGTTAATAGAAGACCTTCATGTAAGCCTACAGCTTTGACGAAGACCTCTGCTACTATGTCTGAAGGTTATGGATTCCGTCACAAGGTCGCCGACGGAAAATGGTGACTCATCAGAAATGTGCAGCAGCAGAGCGCAAGGAAGAAAGGGGAACGGAGAGAGAGAGAGGGGGGGGGAGGAAGAAAAGGAATCGAGAAAAGGAAAAGAGGAAATGTGGCGTGGGCACCATGTCAGACCACGTGTGCGTCGCATTAGGAGGTGATCTACTAACCGGCGGGTTACGTGCTAAAAATCGGTTTTGACAAAATTTACGAAGTAGGACATAATTGAAGAAACTTAAAATACGAGGAATTACTTGACTTTCCATACAGAGTATGAGAACCAATTTTACACCTTTCTCTAAAGATAAAAATAAGTACTTCCGTTCTTAAATACTACGTACGTAGTAAATGCAACGGTCAACATTTTACATTTGCCGAGACACAACTTTGACCATTAATATATATAATTTTGTTAGTAAAAAAATTAAAACAATTAGATTTTCAAAATTTACAATGAGACAAATTTAACAATATTTTTTTCATACTCCCTCCGTCCCGAATTGAAGTGCAAAAGTTGACCGGCACACAGACTAAGAAAGAATAGAAATTGATAGTTTCTTTCCCTTTTTGCCCTTCTGCGTACAAATGAGAGAGCAAAACAAAAAATTGGAAAAATACACTATAGAGCAAGTACAACAATGTCAGACAAACGTGCACCGCACCTTCTTCTAAATGGGAGAAATAAAAAGCGAGAATTTGAGTTTGCAGCCCATGTTTTTGGATGATATTTGACTTTGCACCCAAATTTCAAAATCATTAATGTATGCACCCCATTAGCCCAAAAATTGTGAAGGAGTGAGGTGCAAAGTCAAATGATTTTATAGTGGATTGGGGTGCATACATTAATGATTTTGAAAATAGGGTCAAAGTCAAATATCACCCAAAACATGAGTGAAACAGTAATACGCCTTATGCTAATCGCTAGAGCCAACAGTGATTCAACCCACAACCTAAGTATTTGCTTTAACGAGGGCGGCGATGACTCATCTCTGAGGGTGTCCGAAGGAGACGACGACTCATCTCTGAAGGTGTCCGAGGTTGGCTCCGCGCCGGCGGCAACTCATCCGGTTAAATTAGACTGGATTCAACGACCGACGTCCTCCACTTATGCAAGAGTTTTGTGAGGGCGGCGACGACACGTCAAAAGGTCCGTTCGAGGGCAGGACTGACTCACCCAGATCTAGGAATGTTTAGGTGGTGAAACAATGGAGCCAGAGCTGTTTGACAGAGAAAGGGAGGGTGGAGCCGGAGATGTTTTCCTGTTTGCCTGCTTGGCGCCTTCTTCTCCTAAGCAAGAAGAGCTAATCGACGAAGTCAGATTCCATTCGTTCTTACATTCGTTCCTTGGAATGGGAAGCTGAGGAGAGAAGGTGGGTGAAAGTGGGTGTGTACGTAATGGCCACATGTGTGGGTATGAGAAAATGGGAAATAACAGCTCATTCATAACTGGGAGGTGGGTGAGTGAAAGATTAGAAGGGCAAACTTGTAACTTTAATAATGTTTGTATACCTAAAATGGAAAGTGGAAACTCATTTTGGGACAGCCAAAAAAGGAAATTTTGCAAAACAAATTGGGAAGGAGGGAGTAAAAAATATTAATACATTAATAAATACAACATAGTCAAAGTACAACATGTGAACAGTGTAAAAATCAACATGTTACATTTATTTAAGAACGGAGGTAGTATAAGATAAAAGAACATAAGAAAGATAAAAAATAACTTAAGAACATAAGAAAGATAAATACGATAAAAAGATAAAAGAAAACAAGAGAGAAACGATTAATCCTACACACAAATACGCATCCTCCACTTTGCTTTCTCAAAAATCATACTCTCATATAGGGGTGGGCAAGAATCCCAGTCCTGCTATCCCATTCAGATATATCCCGGACCCGGACCGATGTTGCCCCGTTCTCTTTGGCACCCGTTCATTTTGTCCCATACCGGTTTAAAACAGGACATGATCGGGGCACTGGGAGGTTATCCCGAATCGTCTCGTTGTGTCATTTGTAATGACTATATAGTTTTTGGCATGTGACTAGTTTGTAGTGTCAACTCAATAATAAATGATGTGTAGTAGTATGTTTTTAGTTTTTCAAGCCCAAATTTTATAACTTAAAATAATACCTAACATAAATATTTACTAACATAGGTTTTTTCACTATATATTTGCATATGAGTATCTCACAACTAGAACACATAATTTTGAATAAATTAATTCATTTTTTGCTTTGTTTTAAATTTTAGTTTCAATTTTTGTTAAACCTAATTAAAATCTAATAGCTTGTAGGTTTTTGTAAATAGATAGCTTGCGATGAAAATCAATTGACTTTTAAAACGTTAATATTTTGGTGCATGATAGTTTAGAAATACTAATATATTTTGATTACAAATGATGATTTTTTGTATAATACTCTTTTATTAGTTTAGAACATCCTGAATCGTTCCGAAACATCCGGTCCCGATTTAAATGAAACAAGACTAGGACAAAGGGTTGTCCTGTACCGTCCCGTATCATTATTACTAATTGGGTTGGGACCGGGATAATCCTAATTTCGAATCGTCCCGACCGGTGCCCACCCCTACTCTCATCCAACTCGGAAAACAAACCATTCACGTAAAATAAATAAAAAAGTTTCACTTAGAATTATAAGCTATTTGCCGAAATTGAGGAGGATCTGGCTGGGTGCCATTCTACCCCTAGCCCGGCCAGTGAAATTAGCTCAGGCAGACTGGAGCAGCCAACTAGCTAACAGCCTAACCACTGCAAATTCAAATAAATAAATAAAACACTTGCCAAAGGTTTGAGCTTAATGTCCTTTCCCCAAGTAAAAAAGAATTACTCCATCAAAGGTTATTTCTATTATTGTAAGTTTCCTGCTGCCTAGGAACTAGACCTGCTTAGATCCCGTAAGTCATTAATTTTACTTGGAGCATGACTCACCCCGATTAACCCCTTACCATGCATGCACTACACCCCAACGACCACCTAACTCTTTTCACAACACTGGTTTCTTATTATTTGTATTTATAGTCCTTCAAAATTTCACTTCTTTTTTTCTCTTTCAGTTTTCTATTAGACCTTTTCCATCATTTGTAATGAAGCTAAAGACTTACTATTTTTTTACTTGGGAATATGATGGAATAAAGCAAAATGGCTCATTAAACTGTTTGCGCTTCTTTATTATGAAGCAACTATCGGTCCATGCAATTTTCGACGCGATTTTCACTATGGGTCATCCGGAAACAGTCTCTCTATGCTTTAGTATGCTTTAGTACAGAGGGTAAGACTGCGTACATTCGACTCCCTTACCTCACCACAAGTGGGAGCCTTTGCGGCACTGGGGTGATGAAATGATGAGTTTTCTATTAGACCTTGCCCAACCCTTCATCAGGCATTAGACCCACCGAGAGCCCAACTCTATTCACAATATGTTGTTTTTTGCATTTACCTTGAAAATATTACGATATGGCGAAGAGTTCTATTAGTTCTCATGCTCGATGTCTCGTTACAACAAGATTGATATATATTATGATATCAGTGGCAGGACGTGGGCGCCATGATGTTTACCTCAAATAGTTTAAGGTAGTGAGAAGAGGAACTCACCTGGAAACATAAGGAAGTGCTAAGCAATGGAGATGAAGGTGGTTAACACTGTTCAGAGGAGGCTGATGAAAACCAAATCTGACAAAAAAAATCACAGGTCCAGACCAGACCGAGTTCTAAATCAGACAGCAGACCCAGCTGGAAAAAGAGACCGCACCACTATGTTTGTGACCAAGATCATACCACGGTGTTAACCTCATTTAACTGCCATCAACTTGAGGTCTGAACTAAACAATAAACCCAAGTGGATGTCTATTTGAAAAGGCATCGTATATGTGCACAGAGAATTTCATGCAGGTATTAAATAGGAACTTTTTTATAATTATATAAAGACGCGCAAATTTCAGTGCAGACATAAAATGAACTCTAGATTGCTCATGGCGGTTTGGTCTTGAATCTAACAATTGAGATTAAATCCCTACTGAATGGTACCTTCTTGGCTTCTTGTGGTACTGTGGGCCGTCAAGTCTTGGATGAATGTTGACTGGTAGTTCATCCTGACGGCCCCGATAAAAAATGGGTCAGCCATACCTGAGCATTCCTCTATGTGTGTCAGTGTATAATTATGCATAAAATTCTTGATTAGTTGAAGCAACGCACTTAGAGTCTAAACTATAATTATGACAGTGTAAATCGTATGACACAAAATCTTCTTTTCTTCTAAAAAACACACAGCATGATTACCAATTGTTCAATAGCAAAAAAATTACATGTATCTAATCACTCTAATAACACCACAATCCAAGGTAGTACCATAGTCACATGGATCGCGGTACGCTTTGGTACGCGGTACAAAAACGGGAACGCGGATCGCTGATATTAGAAACCGATACGCGGGGATAGGCTTCTTCGGTACGTCGTACCATTTATTATGGTACGGTGTACCATATACATATACATTTTACCAAGTATACATATAATAAATATAGTATTAAACAATTAACTTCAATAAAACATTAAACAGGAGTCTGGAATTTCGAGTTTGGAAGAATAAAAGTCACTGACTGCCCCATTCAGACTTGGGCAAAATAAAATTGGTTTGGAAGAGTCGAAGCAGTGCGTAGTTTGGGAACTTCAAGTCGCCGACTGTTGTTTGGCTTGGTGGAAGAAGTTGTTTGGAAGCCTGCGTCGTTTGGACAGTCCGTTCGCATTTCGCTGGAGGGATTCTGCGAACCACAAACAAAAATCATGCGACCTGCGATCCAGATCTTCCATTCCGGAATGAAGATCGTGGGGGGTGCAGCGATTTAGGTAATACATATAAACTTCGCCGACAACATAACACATCTAAATTCTAAACTAACGGTCTAACACTCTTTGTGTTTCGCACGTTCTGGACGTCGGGTTGAATTTTCAGACCATAACCCTACCGCTTCAAAACAGCATGAGACCAAATTCATCTTTTTCGAAACGTTCTGCGGTTTTCACTTCTCGGCTTTAGCAGGTCAGGTTTGCTTTAGCAGGTCAGGTTTTTAACCGCATCAGGACCACACTATTGCAAGAACAAGGATGTTTTCACTTGGACTGTAATTTGCTGGTGGTCTGGTCTGGTATGCTCTGATCTGGTCTGTACTGGTCTGGTTTCTTTGTATTTTTATAACTATCCAAGTCTGGTCTGGTCTGAACTGGTCTGATTTGGTCTGGGACGAATTACGGTTCAAGTAAAAACATCCCAAGTCTATTTACCCATCCTGATATCATCACTACCTTAGGTCCTTATAATCATGTATGAGATTGATGTGTGTGAGCTACCTTATTCTTGAAAGAGTTTTTAAGTTTGCATATATAACGTTGTCTAGATGTTACAAAAGAGTTGTTTAGGAGGGAGTAGTGATTTAGTCAAGATGTTTTTCCTATGAATACACTCTTGTCTATTTGAGTATACTAACACTTCATGATTCGATTTTCGTGACTCAAGGTTCGGTGTGCTAGAGGAAAAGCAACCGCTTAAGTGTGGGAGGATTGACACAACCGCTTAAGTGTGGGAGGATTGATAAGTCTGTATTTCAACAAGCATTTTATGCGTGTTGGAATCGGTTTATACGCTCTTGACTAATCAAATTGTGTCATGTAATGCTAATTCAGTGATAATCACAGTTCACAGTGATAATGGGGTTTACTGCACTCAAAAACTCCATTAGAGAAGATAAGAAATGAAAAATCCAAGTGGGGGATCTTGCATCTGCACGCACAAATAAATTTCTGGTCATTCAGCCACGCATGCCATGTGTGCGTCCGTGCACAACCTTTTTTAATTTCTCTTGCACGCCGTGCATGGGGGCATGCGCGCACATGCTTTGCCTAAAACTGACCTAACTCATTATGCAATTGAGGGCTACGACCCTCAATTGCATATTATTAACTTCAACTGTGTTTTTCATAGACTAGCCTGGAAGAACATATTTTGGAGGATCATCAACTATTCATTCTTTCGATTAATGACAAGTAAATTTTACTCTTTCAATTCTATTGTTGTTTCTATTGTAAATGAATTTCTTTAGGTATTTAGGATCGGTGAAAGGGCTTATGACCTAGAGTTTCGTTCTTGAGAGTTTGAAAGCATGATATTTATATAATTTGCGTTTTTAATTATTCATTGTTATGGTCTAAAACCAGGAACCGCTAGGACTATATTCACATGAATTGAAGCCTTAATCTCAAATGATAAATAAAATATTTGGGGTCGGCTAACACGAATCGATCCATGATATCGATGCCAAAATGAGAAGACATACAAGAAGAAGAAAAAGAAAAGGGGAAAAAATTAAGATAAAACGGATAAGATAAAGATAAATAAATATAAAATAAAAATAACATAAGAATACAAGAATGATAAAAGATAAAAAAAAATAAAAGAGCATTAGAAGATGAATGGTCTCAGTTCTTGAGCGTCCAAGCATAAAACCAAACCGATTTTCTGAAATTTCACATTTTTTCGAAGTCTTTGCTCAACCACTCGCTTCCATAGTTTCATGGTGTGACTCATAAGCTTAATCCCTCGATGGTTGGCACATTCTTGTACATCACCCTTATTTTTAAATAGGGGAATGAGAGTACTCTTCCATCAACTCACTGACATTTTGTTATTTCTCCAAATCATATTGAATAAACGTGTTAGCCACTCAATGTCTTTCTCCCCCAAACTTCTCCAAGCCTCGATCGGTATGCCATGTGGACCCACTGCTTTCTTCTGCCTCATATTTCTCATAGTCTCTTTAACTTTTGTTGTTTGGATCCTTCTCACAGAGTCCAGATTTACCATACACTCTGATATGATTAGATCATCAATACATTGCACTTTATTCCCGTTGAACAAGGTATCAAAGTATGACCTCCACCTCTCTTTTATTTTATTGTCCTCCATCAGTACCTTTTGATCGACATCTTTCACGCACTTAAATTTTCCGATATCTTGAGTCCTACGGTCACGAAGGCGAGCAAGTATGTAAATATCGTTTTCTCTTTCCTTAGAGTCCAATTTTACATGCAATTCCTTGTTCACTTTTCCCCTCAAGTCTCCACCACTTTATATTTGGCTTTCCTTGTACCTTAACCCGCCTTCTCTTTTTACCTTGAAAATCAAGCACAAGCATCCTATGCTGAGTGACAGCACTCTCACCTGGGATAACCTTTCAATCAGTATAGCTAACTCTTCAAGTCATCCGTACTCAAAAGTAGTCAATTTGGGTACTATTAGCTCCACTTCTATAGATCACAAGGTGAAAGTCTCTTTTCTTTAACCAAAAGTTCATCATAGCCAACTCATATGTCAAGGCAAAATCCATAATATTCTTCACTGCTTCATTTATAGTGCCAAAACCATGTCCACCATGGATACTCTCAAAACCATCAACACCTAAGCCTACATGCCTGTTGAGCTCGCCTACTATGACTAGCTTCTCTCCTCTTGGCACTCGTCGCACCACTTCCTCAAGATCCCCCCAAAATTGTTGAGTGATAGATGTATCCAATCCCATGTGTGGTGCATAGGCACTTACCACGAACACGGTCTCATCTCCTATTATCAACTTAATGCTCATGATGTGATCGTTCTTCCTAAAAACTTCCACCACACCCTCAACATAATCATGTGCCACCATAATGCATACTCCATTTTTGTTCCTCTCTTTCCTCGAATACCACAGCTTAAAACCTCTGGGATTAATCTTGCGTGCCTTTTCTACAATTCACTTAGTTTCTTGCATGCACATTAGGCTGAAAATCCTGATATTCCTCCTCTTCATAACCTCAGGTATCTCAAATGATCTTCCTGTAAGAGAGCCAACATGCCACGTCCCAAAACGCAATCTAGCATATTGCCTTCTCTTCTTCACAACACATAGACCCTCACCGTGTCCTTGCATATTTGACACCATCCTCGGGAATTGGAGTGGTGTGTCGCTTTCGGGCGACAACCTAGCAGCCTCAACATTCTTATCACCACACCCAGGCCTATGAAATGTAGTGCGCCCTTGCATATTTGACACCACCTCCAGGCGGATGGATGACGCGTCGCGTAGGGGCGATGACCTAGCTGTAGCGATATTCATATTTCGATTCATGCCATGTGATGTGACTAAGTGATACTATTGGTCGTCACGTGCCTACCACAGCACTCTCCTCTTTTATCCTGACTTAGGGACATACATGATACCAAGATAAGAGATAAAAAGATAAAAGAACAAATGAAATATAAAAGATAAAAATACATAAGAACATAGAAAGATAAATAAGATAAACGATAAAAGAAAACGAGAGAGAAAAGAGAAAAAGGAGATCAATCGCCCACACGAATATGTGTCCTTCACTTTGATCTCTCCAAAATCCACACTCTCACCCAACCCAAGAAAAAAAATTAATCGATCTAGCAAAGAAGAATTTTTAATATCTTTCCTTATAAACCGCTAAAAATAATTTAACATTTAACCGACACTATATACATTTATTTTAAGTGCGAGAAAACTCCCGCGAAATTCCAGGCTTTTAAGAATTTGTACCTTTCCGAAATTAAAAAGTTTTACGTTGACCAAACAAAACTTTTTATTTGGAACATATCGAGCAAAACATAGTACCTGTATTGCTTGCTCTGAGGTGCATCTCTGCATAACAAACTCTTTCCAACATCTAGCATGTGGTTCACTACAAGAAGATTGAACATAAGAACTACTCCGTATTTGAATGTCACGGAAATTCTTAACTATAAAAAATTATGTCAAAGAAGCTAAAGTTACCCAAGGAGTAGTCATTATGGCTTTTCTTGAGATCTCTGACGGTAGGAATATGGTCCTTTGGAATTACCAAGTAATGCCTGTCTCATTGATAGAAAGCTTCAAAAGCTCATTTTGAACATCGTGAACACACACGTGAAAATATTAATCTTAACAAAACCTAAGAAGTTTGATTATAATATAACAGGACTGACAACAGCAGACTCGATATAAACTTTGGACAATATATTCCACCTTCCAATGAAGAAAAAGTGAATTAGAAGTAATCCACTCACTTGCAGTATTTCATTATCTGCTGACAATAGCAGTAATAACAGTAAAGTTCCCAATTGATCATATGGCAAACAGAGATGGTTGATCCAAATATCTCAGTGACAAGAAAGCTTCATCTATAGTGCTTAAGAATAAAAGGATGCTCCTTTTCAGGGCTATTTATCCACTAGTCAGTTACTTTTGTTCCCTTAGCCTGTGGTGTGACTCCAATAGCCGCCAGCTCATTATATTGATCATATAAAATAGTTCACATTGTTTTCATCTCTAATAATTTAATACATTAGGGTAGTCAAATACCCGGTCTGTTCAAGATTTACAATACAACATTCTTCAAATGTGAAATTCCACCATATCCACTCGGGTGTGGTTGGTTCAAGACTTCAAGTTACCGAGTTAATGGAAATGCAATCATGCCGTATCATCTCACGTGGTTCAAGTTGTCTCGGAATGGCTTGTGTTTTCTTCAGTTTCTTGGAAACTAAACAATTGTTGGAAGCCAGAATATGTAATATTGTTTTTTTGTATTGACAGTTTTCAAAATCAATGAATAGTTTTTGGTTTGTTATAGAAGGTATATCATGTAAATTTTAAAATCTTAAAACAAAGAAAAATAATTAAAGGGGAAATTTGACTTTGCACACCACATTTTGGATGATATTGGAATTTGCACCCCATTTTAAAAAAAACTTTGATTTTACACCCCGTTTGACTTCAAAATCCTTCGACTTCTCACCCCATTTTGAAATTTTCCTTCACAAATGTTATATGATATGGTGCAAAGTCAAAGGTTTTTTAAAATGGGGTGCAAAGTACAATATCACCCAAAAAGTGGGTGCAAAGTCAAATTGTCAAATTAAAACCAACACCACGGAAAAGGAGGCATTTTTGTTTTGCAAGTATTGTCAAATTAGATAAAAAAAATGCTGCTCTTCATAATCTCATGTAACCTCCCACGAAGTTATCTTACTTACTAGTTCTTAGTAGTTACTAGAAGGCTATATTGCAGCTTCGAGCATCGCTAATATGAATAAATATGTATTCTCTCTGGGGAGATGGACGACACCAAAATTAGAGAATTTTAAAAACGAAATTAGCTGGAGCCAAATTAATTTACTTGTCAACATACAGAATCGAATGACAAAAACAACGAGAACCTGAGAGCTGAAGGGTTGATATCCTGAAAAGCTACTACATTTTCATCCTGCAAAAGTCTTTATAAATCTGCTGAAACTGAGGTATGCAGATGGAAACGTGCAATGACGATATGAGCAGTAAAAAGAAAAGGGGAGCAGTTACTCACGGAGTGGAGGAGAGTGGTGCAGGTGGAAGTGGTGGCGATTTGACAAAATATGCATCCGGAAACTGCACCAGCAGCCATCTTAGATGCGCTCTTCCGGACGAATGCACGTATATACGGCGTCTGGTTACCTCGACCTAAAACAACTTTTTTTTATTGGATTGAAATTTCCAGACGGTCTGTTTTATTCTGCTGAAATTTATGAACTTTCAGATGAAGTGTCTTCATTGTTTTATTCTGCTGATTTATAAAAATTATATATATATTTTAATAAAATGAAGAAAAAATTACATGAAAAAATAATTAAAATGATCTTTTATAGTAAATTCAGCCAATACAGCCTAAAAAGTAACATCAACCTACTTTGTCTTATTATTGCACAATTCAGCGCACGAAACCAAACGCTATATGTTTGGTGAAAAAGTTGGTTGATAAAACTGAAAAGTCGAAAAAATGATCAACAAACAGGCTCTTTATGTTCTAGTTAATGTCTCATTTATGTGTCTTTTATGTTCGATCTAATTTGTTTAAGTCACGTTTAATATAGTTTGTTTAAGTCTTATCTCGTTGATATTGTTAGGTCCCCTATATTTTGATAATCATATATTGTTTTGATGATGCCATCCCTTTTACTTTTATCCCTGTAATAGACTAGAGCTTGTATTTGTTCTGTTGGTGTTTATTTTAATGTGCTCCATAGTTATAAAGTACTCAAGAAAAACATATAGTACTGAAACGAGAAGAAACGTACCATAAAACAAAAAGAAAAAGAAACAAAAAGAAAAAGTACGAAAAGAGTCAACTGAAACCCTTAGAGAATCGGATACTTAAGTAAGACGACCTTCTGTCATGGTCGTATCAGAGAACCTCAGCAACAGAGGTGGTTCTCTGATTGACACCAGACCAGAAGACCTTATGTCATGATCGTATCAGAGAACCTCAACAACAGAGGTGGTTCTCTGATGACACCAGAACAGAAGACCTCATAGGTATTCTGTTGAGGTATTCTGATTAAGTACTCGACATCTGCTATTCTTCTCTCTAGCACAGAAACAAGAAGACAGAAGACCCACTTGCAGTCAAAATGACAAAATGTATAGAAAATAATGTTACAAGAAATTATGTGACAAAATTTCGTATAACATTATTTACTAAAAGCAAGTAATCCTATCATGAGGAAGCATTGAACAACACTCGAACTAGATACTGAATTTGTACGAGCTAAATAGATAAAGATAAATCATCTTATCTTTGCCTATAAATGTGGGATCAAGTTGGGTGAGGATAAAATGATCTGTGTCACAAGAAGACAAAAATAAACCATGCTGCCCCGGTCAAGTGGAACAAAGCAAGTAGATCAAGCAACGATCAAGATTAGATCACTCAGCCAACGGAGGAGATTCGACAACAAAGTCTATAAATACAGAAGGAGTGCGGAAAGACCAAGTGTGGCACCAGATGGAAACAACCCCTAGTATATTGGAACTCAGTGGAACCGAAGGGAATCAAGGTATACGTGAACACATCAAGCTAGCTGATTCACCTTCACCACTCTGGTTTCCACCCCACCCATATAATGCTCTTAAAATAGCTTATAATTCATACACATCTATAGAGCTTAGATTAGTTGGTAGACTAGCTTATACCCATGTAAACTAGTCTAATGTATTCATTCTGGTATGCGTGTGACAATCCAGAAGGTGAGGCAAGGACATGAGTAGCTTCTGGCTGGGCAATGCCATTAGTGAAAAACCTTGGAGGACATGAGTAGCTTGGAACAATTTGGTTCCTCGTGAAAAACCTCACAATCTACGCCCGGGCCAGGGGTAAATTGTGAACTAAATGTAATGGGATATTCATTTAGTAGAAATCCATCTGAAATAGGTTGGGGCTGGATGTAGGAGGATTACATCGCCTCTGAACAAGGATATATCTTGTGTACCTTTTATATTCAGCACCCAACACATACTTCAGTTCTCACTCACCTTCATACTATCCCAAAAGCTTGCATATTTACTGTCCAGAAAACTCCCTAAAGTTTTTTGTGAATCAAAACTCCTTACCTACGTACTTCAAAGAGATTTATGTCAATTGGTCTAAATCCTTCACACAAAGGTGTTCTGTCCACCCATTTCTGTTACAACTAAAAGGGTCATAACTTTTGTTCTTATAAAGTGTCACGCTCTTGAGGTCAAGACTTCCACTGTACCTTTCAATATCTCCCAAAAGATATTGGAACACATTCTGTTTGAGGAAAAAGGGTTGAAAAAGAAAAGATTTTTATAAGTCTATTCACTCCCCCTATAGACTTCTACCTCATTTGGGACCATCATTTGGTATTAGAGCGGTTGTTCATATAGTAAGTTTTTAATCGGCTTACTTTGAACAAAAGATCAACCACCAATTTCCCAAAACGCTTATAGAACAGAGATGGAACACAGTATGAAGGATACTCTTCAAGAAGAAACAAGGAAGGAGAAATCAAGTTTTGATCACACATCAAGGAAAGGGACGATTATTCAACAAGAAGAAGAAAGTCAAACCTATTATCATGACATGGGTTCCACTTCAACTACTATTAGGATCTCTTGTAGAGTTTCCCCTTCTCAATGGTGTAGCTTGTGGCCCTGAGTTTGACTAGTTTGGTCCTCTCCTCGTCCCGGGGTAGTTCTCCCGAAATGATGAAGGTCATGATGTCGGATATCCAGTCCTCCGGGCATTGTTGAATGCACATGACCGGGCTGGCATGGATGCTGGACATGCTTAACTCCTCGACTTTGGCTATCTTGGAGATGTGCTCCGGAGTGTCTGTGCTGACTTGGAGAGAATGTCGGTCTCGGCATTCTCCATCCTTGGGATCTGTGTGATCTCATGGGTTTCAAATGTCTTGAGCAACTCCTCAACCGCCTGTTTGTACTGCCTCATCCTGCCTTCTTTGGCCTCGTATGAGCCTCGATCTGGCCCACCACCAGCTTGGAGTCGCATTTGATCTTGATGTGTTACGCTTTGAGGCCGGCCGCGAGTCTGAGGCCGTTGAGGAGGGCTTCATACTCGGCTTCGTTGTTGGACACCCAGAAGTTGAAGCGGATGGCGTAATAAGCCCTGAATCCCTCAGGGGAGATGAGGACGATGCCACATCCACATGCTTTGCGGTTGAGGAACCGTCAGTGAATAGGGTCCATGCTTCGTCTGGCTCTGACCCAGGTATGGCGGCGGCTACCTCCCTTGACGTGCACTCGGTGACGAAGTCGGCCAAGGCTTGCCCCTTGATAGATGGCCTTGGCTTGATTTCAATCTAAAACTGACTCAGGAAGTTTTCCACTTCACCATCCTTGAGGAACTAGTTGGGCTTCACATGAGTGCGGCGAGGGGCTGCTGGGTCAAAACATGGACGACATGGGCCTCGAAGTAATGCCCCAGCTTCTTCACCCAATGGACAATGGCTAGCACCGTCTTCTCGATTGGGGAGTACCTGAGCTCGGCCTCCCGGAGCGTCTTGCTGATGTAGTAAATAGCTTTTTGCACCCCTTCATCCTCGCGGATGAGCACGGAATTGATGGTCGTCGTGCTCACCCCTAAGTACAAGAAGAGGGTCTCACCGGCTTTCGGCTTGGAAAGCACGAGAGGGGATGAAAGGTACTGCTTCAGCTCCTCAAATGCTTGTTGGCACTCCGTCATCCGTTTGAAGTTGTTTGCTTTGCGCATGATTTAGAAGAAAAGGAGAGACCTTTCAGCCGATTTGGAGAGGAAATAGTTAAGTGCCACAAGTCGTCCCGTCACCCGTTGTACTTCCTTGACATTGTGCGGCGGCTCCATGTTCACGATGGCCTGGATCTTCTCCGGATTTATCTCAATGCCCCTTTGGCTGACCATGTAGCCAAGGAATTTGCCCCATTGGACGCCGAAGGTGCATTTTTTGGGGTTCAGACGGAGCCTGAACTTCTGCATGATCTCAAAAATTTCCTGGAGGTCGTCGGCATAAGTGGTAGCATGTTTGCTCTTGACGATCATGTTGTCGCCGTATGCCTCCATCGTCCGGCCGAGGACTACTTTGAAGATTTTGGCTACCATCCTGGTGTATGTGGCGCCTGAATTTTTGAGCCAATGTGGTTGACATGGTTGGTATGATTGTTATCACCCTTCAGATTTTTCACTTCCACCACCAACCCTTCAATCTTCGCAGTTAAGGCCGTGAGTTGGTCAACTTCAAGATAGCCTGGTTTTGTTGCTGCTGAAGTTCTTTCATCGTACCAGTATCTTGCATTGGAGTGACCTTCTCCACCAGAGCTTCATTGGCGTCGGGCGCCATATCAAGGAACGATCCCACCTGAGAAGAGAAATCAAGCTCTTTTTTTGCTTCAACCTTGAAGTCCATTATAGAAATGGAACATCAAGCTGCTAGGGTCCATCAGTGTGAGTGGACACTTGTTTCTCATATCCTTGAAGTGCTCCTATGCTTCATTTAACGATTCCGTCGGGAATTTCCTAAAATTTTGGATTGTTGTTTTAATTTTAGCAAACGCCGACGGAGGAAAGTACTCTTGCGTAAATGTATGGTGTAGTGCTGCCCATGTTGTGAAATGACCAGTTGGAAAGCTATCCAACCATAAAGATGCCCTATCTCGTAGTGAGAAAGGAAATAAGGTCAACTTTACGGCGTCAGGAGTCACTCCATTGAAGCGGAATGTTTGGCATGCTCGGGTGAACCACAACATGTGGGCCCTCGGATCATCTTGCTTGGATCCGCCAAATTGATGATTACACATCATGTTGATAATGGCGGGTTTAATCTCGAAGTTGGTTGCCTCAATTGTTGGTGCGCTAATGCTATCATCCTCGATGAAGCTTGGCGTGAGGTTTTGCAGCACCGTCTTTTGGTCCGCCATGATTGGTTTCTTGTGGATTAAAAGATTTTTCCACAAAATTCGTTGAGGTTTAGGATTAAATTCAAGTAGCCCTTCCACTCCTTTAGAGCGAATGCGCATTCATTTATCATGAAATCTTTATACAAATTGCCGCAAGGGCGAAAAAGTTTCCCTAACTAGAATTCACCTATGCTAGAACTAGATCAAGAAATTACCGTGCCATTCCCCGGCAACGACGCCATTTGA